TCCTTTTTAACTAGTTCCATTCGGTGACATATATATGGATGGTTATAAAGACTGGGTCAAATCTGCCAGGTGGTTTACTAGAAGCGGAATATAAGCTGTAAACTTACCGACTGAGATGTCCAAGTTCATATTTTTTAGTCCATTCTCGTGATTTCTCAGTATATGTGCCTCAGAGCCACTCAAACTATTAACAGTAAGTAAACTGTGTATAAACAAGCCATAAAATGACAAATTCAGAACAGGAACGTGGTCATATTGTAAATAATAAGGTTTCAAACGCAATGTCGTTAGACGACTACGTATGAATTCTATGGGCGGTAACGTATTGTATTAGATGTACATTAGATGTTCAGCGGACGGTGACGTGCATGTACATCTTTCAAGTTAAGGTTGCTAGTTCTGATAGCCTCTTTCCATGTAATTGTTATAATGGGTAAGAAATGGAATATTGAATTGCTTATATTTGTTTTCAGGACTCGCAAGAGACGCTCTTGTTTGAGCCTCTATAGGGCAAGGAAAAAATTGTGTCTTGCTTTATTAATGAAACCAATTTAAGTAAAAAAGATAGCAATGAAGAGGCAAAAGAAGAATTAGCATCAAGTACTGATGAATATGACAAAATTAATATCAATGAATCTGGGATACATATTTGAACGAGGTTCGCGTAACCGTCAATCAATGCCCTGACAACAAAAACAAACAAATTACTAAATTTTGTGAATTTTGAATTTCAAACTCAACAGTTTTTTGCTTATTTCATGTTATCCCCGGGCATCAATTTGCAAAAAATACGTTCAAACTATACATTACTAAATGCATCACCGAATGCGATGTCTACAAAAATCGTTCATCCTTTCATTGATACACAGTAGAAGAAAATACTGCACCAACCTTAGTTTTCTGTTCCATCTCGGCCATTTTATTGGATAAATCAGTGATCGTAGTCGTCTAATCTCGTTTTCAGAGGTGTCGTAACCGTCATGCTATAACACCGTGATAATGTCAAATGATAATCCGCAACATGACTTATACATAAGTTTAAATCGAGAAAACAAAAAACTCATATCTAGGAAGTTCATCCATATTGTTACATTGATGTTCCGTAAAAGTAACTCGTTGTGGAACAGTGATCCATGTAGGGTTGAACTTTGGAAAAATACATGGTCCTCTATTAATTGAAATTTCTACAATGTGCAGATTTTTGGTTCTACTTTTTTTTGAGGATGGGGGTTGGAAGGTTTATAATAAAGACTGGTCAGTGTTTTCCATAGCTAGCCTCAAAATAGTGTTAAACAAATTTTGATCATGACCTTGTAAAGCTACTGTGTTAGATTCCTGGTTTTTAGTCTTAGATGTGTCATTTTCCAGAATAATCAATGAAAGCTAAGTCTGGCAAATATCTCATTTCCATATTATACTTTTTCAGAGAAACTATGAACACAAAGAAAAGGAAAAGGGACAGGATACACATTTCATAACAGTTTGAAGGTAAGGTATCGAAACCATTTTTGTTATTTTCTTACATGACAATGAGGACTTCTTGTGCTGAACCTTTTCTCAATAGGTGGAATTACACCTACGATGTAAAAGCGCTTTTTAAAATCCTATCGGGTTTCGACCCGCCTTTAGAGTCAGGTGTAATCACGATCGCGGATTTAGAAAAGCGCTTTTGTAATCCTCCCAGACCCCTAGTCATTAAAAACCGCTTTCACACCCAAAGGCGGTTTAACGTGTAGGTGTAATACCGATTGGTTTTCAAGGCGCTTTAACTCGATTTTACACTGAACGAAAACTATATTTGCGCATGAGCATCAAGCATGTTATTGATTTCCGGTGTGGAGGAAACTTCAAAAAACAAAATTCAAATATTGCGCAAAACTCAATCAAATCACCAAAATGTCGAAACAAAGTAGAATTTATTGGGACCACGTCAATACTGAGCGTATGCTTTCGATTAAAATATAAAAAATGATAAAATAACGGACGAAATTACCCCTTCTTTCAGTTATACGCCCAGGGCTTATATACGAGAAATTCCGGTACTATTGTAGATTGGGGAAGGCGAGGGGAGGGGATGATTGAATAGTTGAAATTACCTCTCTACAATGAAGTCAAAAAAATGACGAGATCTTTGTCTTGTCCACATCGTTCGTTCCTGTCCCATATTACCAAGGATGCCAAACAGCCCCAACAAAAGTACCATCTTCATTTTACTGGATCTCTCTTGGATCTCTCCTAACGACCGAGCTTCTCTCTTTGCGCTCTTGTGCATTGTTTTCCATGCTTTCTTTAGCACATATTTGTTAACGCCAGAGGTAGATTGAATACGATTTAAGAAAAAAAGGAACATACAGTATCGGATCATTTTGAATCTCCAGAGATGGCGCTACGGTTGAAAGTGTATATCTAAATAGCAGATTTTGATGCAAATGCGATGGTTGATGGCAAATTTTTGTCTTAAATCAGTCTAAAAGCGCTTTAGAAAAATCAAGTGTAATCACGAAAAGTTGTCTTCAAGGCGCTTTTAAAATTCTGGTGTAATCAGGATTGCGGTTTTCTAGCCTACGTTACCCAAAACGCCTTGAAAACGCCTTTAGCCATGAAATAGGTGTAATTCCACTAAATGATACTTTTCCTGATGAAATCTCACTTATTGAAAGCACATTAACATGTGATCAAACTACTCATATTCTTTCTATATCAATACAAAGCCATAATAAAAAGTAGGTATCTTTATGCTTTTGCAGACCGGGCTTACCAGAAGTGCAAGCATTGTGAATCCACAACAAACAAAAGGGGCATGATGGGTCATCATGTTAGGAAAGAACACCCAAGAGGTAAGCCTAATTTTGTAAAGTATATGACCCTGTCATAGGCATTAGACAGCTGCTTTAGGACAATTCTACAACCAAAATATTTTTTTCTAATTATTAGACTCTATTTAAAAAAATAGTAATTGGAACTTGGAACTTGGTCAAGCGTAGGGGCACTGTCTATACTTAAGAATATGAATGTTCCAAATGAAATTTATCAATAATGTATAGACTCCTAATGACTAATTTTTGTGAGCAGCTTCTAACTATACCAGAGGCGGATCTACCCCATTTGCCAGAGTATGGCATCAGTACGCCTGTCAGATTTACCATTTTTTTCCCAAGATAATCAGATGAATGGGGACTCACTAATGTTATTTAATATCATTGTATCACTTTAATGCTATATAATATCATTGTATACATCTGTACTTAATTGTTTACTTAAACTGTATACAGGGTGTTTCATATGTATGCACCCCCATCAACTCATAATTGTAGTATTGCCAGCCTATCATGTTATAAATCATTTTGTTCCTCATGGAAAGTTATATAAGATTGCAGTTTCAGAATCCAGAGGCGTCCCTGAAAAAGGATATAATGTATCAAAGTGTGTGGGCATGGATCATGGGGAAGGAATTTCTGGTCGTTTTGAGGGCAATTTAAAGGAAAAATTTAGTTTCTGTATTTCACATTTCTAGCTAGGGTAGCATATTACATGAATTAGTTTATGGGGGGGGGAGGTGCATACATATGAAACATGTCAACAGATTGTACGTCTTCTCACATTTCTTAATAGACAGTTATGTCACTAACTCATGGTGTTTTAAACTTGATTTCTTTCCTGTACCAAATTAATATTAATAAGTTTAATTTAGATAAAGCTGCAGCCCATGGCTATTATTTAATCAGTCATTGCTAGTTACTTTATACAGATTGAACAAAATGTTAAATGGTACCAACTTCCAAATGTTGTATAGCTTTGGTTGACCATCTTTAGTTCTGGTGAAAATTCCATATCTAATTCATGTTGATTATTCTTGTAAGTATGATTTCAGGAAGAATACTCATGAGATATAATTGAATGGTTTTTGAAATGATGAAATAATCTGAACAAAAAAGCACATTTTACCGGTACTTAACACTTTCTAATACCTACCAACAATAGACATTATAATTACATGTACAGACCAAATGAATTAAACTGTTTGTGATTTGTCTTCAAGATGATGGCACTGTGACATGTGGCATTCGTGGATGTGAGGAGGAGGTGCCCAAAGATGGCCTAAAAGCACATGTGTGTGTCCATAAAGGTGAGGTTTGTTATAGATGGTAACTTGGAGCAATTGTTAATAAACTGTATGTTAAAATATCTTATGTTGAGGGCAAATCAAAAGGCCGTGGTAAATGGGTGGAGATAAATCAAAATGTACAATAAATTAACTCAATTACTCAGATGCGAGTAGGTAATTACCAGTTTCGCCACCAAGTAGCTAATTCGGGGGAAATGAATAAAAAATCGTAAAATCGTAAACTTGAATATTCATCAGTTTTATTGGTTCATTTTTCATGTTACCCTTATGTATCTTATCGTTTTACAAATTAAAATATGCCCAGTAAAAGAAAATGTTATCTGCCCAACACAAGAAACACAAGAAAAGATATTTCACTCCAAATCTGACATCAGTTTGACTATTTAATGAAGTAAATCAAGATTATTTCTACTCGCATCTAGTCTATTGAATATGGCCCTTTCTTCTTGAATCACAGAATATCATTGAATCTTATATTGTTTACTGTATTTTTTTTTTTTTTAACTTTGACATCACTAATTTGGTATATTTTATCTATTTAGAAGATATCAGTCGGAAAATTGAAGATGATATTGAGGCTGCTCCATGTGATATTAAAGAGAAGCTACTTCCAGCATGGAAAAATTGGGTATGTATGAGGCAATTATTAGTAAAACATTCTTTGAACTGAACCAAAAACTTTGTGCCAAAATAAATTGATCTGAGACTTTTCAGGGGGTTTTTCAACTTGAAATAAGTATTTTCGTAAGGAGCAGTTTCCACTTCCTTCATATCATTCCAACTTGTTATTTTATTTTGGCAGGGTGTTTATCTTGATTTGCCAAGTCATTTAATGTAAGTTTAATAGATTGATTTGAGTGTTCAATCATTTTCAGGTTTACTGGTGCCCATAGATGAAGCGAATGACACAAGGACAGATGGACCAAATGAACAAAACAACATGGGGACACAAGGACAGATGGATCGAATGACACAAGGACAGGTGGACCAAATGAACAAAACAACATGGGGACACAAGGACAGATGGATCGAATGACACAAGGACAGGTGGACCAAATGAACAAAACAACATGGGGACACAAGGACAGATGGATCGAATGACACAAGGACAGGTGGACCAAATGAACCTAACAGAATGGGGACAGACAGACAGATTGACACAAGGACAGATGGACTGAATGATAATGGGACAGATTGAGAGAGTGACACAAATGGACCGAATGAACAAAACAGCATAGGGACTAATGGGAAGAATGACATGGGTACAGTTCGAGAGAACAACATAGGGTCAGGCGAAGAGAATGACATTGAGACAGATGCACAAATGAACATTGGAAGGGGAGGACAGAATGACATGGGAGAAGATGGCCAAAGTTATACTGGGCCAGTAATACAGAACAACAGGGGTACAGCAGAACAGAACAACATGGAGATAGACAAAGTGAATGAGTTGGAGACAGATGGACAGAACAAAAAGCAGAATGAGATCTCAAATTTGAGAACAAACACACGAATTAAACGGGAATACACCATTTATGGGAGTTCAGACACACAGTGGTATGAAGGTAAGTGGAAAAGGTTGTCAAGAGACTCAAGATTGATAATATTTCTATCCTTTATATTGCAAAAAGTCTGACAGGATATACAGCCTGATTTCATTCTTCCATCGATGTTCGAAATGAGTATTGGCCACAAATTTTATATCACTAGCCTTGTTCTGACTTTATATTTGATGAGATTTGAGTTTCAACCTTTGGTTGTCCTTCAGTCACAATCAAAATGTCAAAAAAAAAATTTTCAAATTGATTTTTGGATCCAAATTAAATCTTCCTAAACACAAAGTACCTACTGAGGTCTGAAAAAGTAAAATCATCAAGGTCAAAAGTTGAGGTTATCAAACTTGATCACAAACATTGTCAGCAACATATTGGAGGTCAAAAAGGTATTTTTAACTTGCCCAAATGTTTTTTCAATATCTGTATCACTTTTGAAACCATTCACAGGTGGTGACATTTTGTCATGTTAATGCCTTGTTTTCCATTTTCTTGTTAAAACTCTTTAAATGTCGTAAAGCCGTATTTTGCTTTAAGTAAGCAACACTTGCAACTTGCAAGTAGAAATATGTATGATGAGATATGATATAGTAGCAGTGGCTTTATTCGTATTATGTTTCTATTTCCAGGCACAATAACCACACGGAAAAAGAAGTGCATAATTGGATTGGATAATGGTGACGAGACATCAATGACCCTCAAACACGCAAATTATTGCCTAAAGCAAAATAATTTGGTTATAATAGACTGACTACAATAACTGCCAGATTCTAACTTTTTGCATATAAATGCCTTGTATAATATAAGTTCATTGCAAAATACAATGGTGGTGAAATAAGCATGGAAATACAAGAATAGCATTTGAACAACTTAAGAACTTCAGCCAGTGACTTTTTGCTTGTAAATGCCTTGTATATTACTGTAAGTTTATTAGTATTGTAAATATTGTATAATATATTGATGGTGAAATAAGCCTACAAATGTAAGAATAGCATTTTTACAACTTTCTAACAATTACCAGACTTTTTTCTGAAAATGATTTTTTTAAATTGAAACCAGGTACTGACATTTTGTCATGTTAATGCCTTGTTACAACTTCGTAGCAATTACCAGATGATGACTTTTTGTATGAAAATGCCTTGTTAATTATTGTTCAAGTTGTATTGTTCTTCAAAATTATTAAGGTGTTCTAAGAAGTTCAGATCTGACCTTAGATGGGAGATTTGATATTCAATGACCTCAAGTTCAAATAAGTCCTTGATTCAAATTCACCAAATTTTTTCTCAGAAGTTTTTTACTTAGATTAGATATTTCACCTTGGTTGAAGTTTTTGGATCCATTTTTTTAAAAGTTGAAACCAAGTGCTGACATTTTGTCATTTTGACAATTGCCAGATGATGACTTTTTGTATGTAAATTATAATGATGCATATGTTTATTGTACAATGTATTAGTCTTGAAATAGGCTCTGTATACAAATACAAGTATAGCATTTTGTATTTCCCATTTGTTGTAAAACTAAATGTCAAAAATAAACTAGATATGAGATATACATATTTGCAATTGGTTCTTTATTATTATTATTGGGAGTTTGATATTCATCATACAGATATTTATACTAATATCTCCAAAATGTTGCAATTCATAATTGTGGATCAAAATCGCATATGCCCATCTTTAGGATTGAGGACTATTGTCTAATTGTAGACATAAAAACTTACAAACGCTTATATGAAAAACAACTTGCATCAGTATTGCTTTGAAGTTTCATCAACCCCATACATCTTCATTTAACCTTTTTAAAACTTTGACATAAGAAATGAAAAATGGCCGAAATGAATAGCTAGGCCTTTAAAATTTGACGATTTGCATCATAATTTATGTATTGAATAATCTTACAATATTTGTGAAATGTTTCTCATTGAAACCGACCACATGATCTATGGTTATTCCCGGTGTAAAAGGGTAGAAGGTCCTATTAATTTATGGTCCTACTCTCCATTGATTTATATGGTGACCTCTTTGTGCTCTTTCCCTTATTATCTTATACACAATCAGGGCCAGTAACGGCCTTTAAAAGGGGGGACCATAATCCCTGGGGGACCATAATTTCTTTCACACCGGTCATCTGCAATATCCACTTACAGTCTCGTTTTCAACCGAATACACCATGAAGTCAAGTATGGTAGGCTATGTACCACGCTAAAAGAAGGTTCTGATGTATAGCGTATTGCAGGTACAGGGTGGTAAAAAAATTGGAAGCCCTGCCACTATTTTCATCATATGTCACCATTGCGCTGTAGGCAAACATGCTCAAGTAATTCAAAATGTCCTTATCTCGGGTTACTTTCCTTTTACCTGTAGGGATATACCGAAGACAAAGTGTACAAGAATGGCCTCATCGGAACAATTGCAGACCTTAAAAGGGAGATTATCTGTGTCATTCAGGCCATAGGCTCTAAGGAATAAAGTCGGGTCATTGACCACGTGTAGAGGTTTGCATGCAGCATGTTCAAAGTTCTGTTATATTGTGACTATTAGGCTGATGGTCATGTAATATGCTAGGGTAGTTGGAAATGGAATGTTGTACAAAGGTGTAAAATATCAGGTAGTAATTTTCTATAATGACAAAGATATGAGGAAGACGCATGGTTTCCGTTTTTTGACCACCCTGTAACGGTATATTAGATTACGTTTTCTCCTGACTAGCCAAGATACAGCTTTACCCCATGTAAGATATTGCCATTTTTCATCCTAAGAAGTCACACGTGTAAGATGAAAAAAACTTTCTTGTACTCGTACCTGTGCAAAATCGTCCATTCTTGAGGCGCTTTGATAATGTTTCTTTAACTCGTCTGCGACTCGATAAAGAAGAATCATCAAAGCTCATCAAGAATGGATGATCTTGCACTGGTACTCATATAAGAACCTTTATATTCCAGTCATAGAAGTGACAAACGTTAGTGTTCATTCATGCTGTTGTTGCAGCTCTTTCATGTAACACAACTGTAATACATGTTACCGTTAACTACAATATAAGGCCAAATAACTCTCCGACAATGGACAAGAAATCCATTTAAAATATATTTAAAAAGCATCGCCACAAAAAATCCATTTTAAATATACAATGCTTGTATCTGGAAAGATATGCAACCGTTTCGTATATTCCCTGAGTAAAGTGAGAGACAAACCAATGGGCAGGATGGATGGAAAAACACAAAAACGGAAATTATTAGGAAACTTTCAACTGTTGGATTACACATTTGTCTTTTGTTCAGCTAAGCATGACGAAATTTATAAAAAAAAACTTCATATTTGCTGATCATGTATACGAAATCATTGAATTTTAGACAGTCTAAAGGTAAATCGATACTCAGCCCTATGGTGAGAACACACTCTAAAAGTGCTGATCCTAGTTCTTTTATCATATTAATTTCCAGGGAAAATGTATATCATGCTTTTCTGAGCGTCTCAAATTTCGCGCATTTATTAATCATCTGAAACGCTCATGTAGGTCCTCCAAGACTTTTACCCCATCTGTATTTATCGATAATGTCCCCAATTTAGGTATGGTGGCGTGCACACCCCTGAAGTATAGAACGTCTGATATGTATATTTATATGGTAGTGTTCATATATGATATGATGCTGTGGTGTTTGATTCCCAGGAAGCATCTTTTCAAGACCATGGTGATTTGAGACTTCATACTTTCCAATAATGTCGAGATACACATCCCTTAAGTTTTTTTATACAGTAAAACCTGTTTAATCCGAACGCCATTGGGACCGGCTAAAAGCGTTCATATTAGGAGGTGTTCACATTTCAAGGTTTTTGCATTCGCAATATTCCGGATTCTGAGGAAATGTGAACACATTCTCGATATATATTTATAGTTCTTCTGACCACATAGCTTTCAATGGCATTCCTGAAATTTGAAAATTCGATTCAAATGTATCTAGTCATGCTTGAAAGCCCCATTATAATTGACACCATTCTAGATTTTTTCCAAAGTTTTGATATCATGACAAAATTTGAGCAATTTTGTATGAAACATCAGAAATTTTATGAAAAGTGTTCAGATTAGACAAGTGAATTTTTCAAATATGACTGTTCATTGTTCAAATTGGGAGGTGTTCACATTATAAGTTTTTTTTAACATGGGCGTCAATGGGAGGAAAAAATTGAACCGAAAAAAGTGTTCAGATTGGGAGGTGTTCGGATTAGCCAGGTGTTCAGATATAGAGGTTCTACTGTATTTTACATTTTGTAAACTTTCATCTACTGATGATATAGTCTCTTGAAAATTCTCTTCCTTTTAACATGGGAAATCCTCACTTCAGCAAATCCTGGTGTCATTTATTTATGGTGAGCACTGTACACAATCTTCATCAAGCCTCAACTAGACACAATACTTCTCTCTTTCTCTCCAAGCCATACATGTTCACAATAGTCCTCACTGAGCCTCAACTAAACAATACTTCTCTCCAAGCCTTCCCTGTGCACAATACTCCTCAATGAGCCTCATAGTAATGCATAGTTATTCATGGGATCTGGTTTATTATACTTTCATGGATTTTCCTTCTTTCAAAGTGCATACGCCTCATTCAATAAACTAGAAGAATTACATGGGTATCCTTATAACATTTTCTTCATTACATGCTGATAAATATGAAATAAAGATTAAATTATAGATAAACAGAACTACAAAGTTCAATTAATTCGAAACCATTTATTTCAATAATATACTTGTACATGCAGAGCCCAAAACCTTTGGAACTTCATCATCATTCATAAGATATAAGATGACCCATCAAGTAGATACGAAACATGGGAAATGCCAGCACATTTTCAATTGATTCCCTAAAAGAAATCTGCCAGGCTGGCTACTCAAAGTGGATATTATGAACATAGTTTACCATAATTTAAACAATTATATATTCTCCAAATATATGAACTCCAAAAAGACAAGTGAAATAATTTGTTGCCTTATTGGTACAGGGTGAGCCAAAAAAGGTAACCCATCCAAATGTATGTTTATTAACTCAGTCATTCAGCATGGGTTTAAAATCATATTTGGCACAATTAAACCTTGTTCAATGTACTTTCATTCTACTAAGTGTCATTGATTTATCCCTGATAGCCACAATTCATGGCCATTTACAAAACATACTCAAAATGCCAAAATGTGCCTCACTGACTGGACATAAATCCTACCAGATTTTTATCTGTAGGCCTATTTTTTACACTTACAACACTTATAACATTGAAACAAGAGATTACAACACTAAACCCATGCAGGATGACTGAGTAATTAAGATTTGATATGGTTACTTTTTTGGCTCACCCTGTATATAACTGACAGGGAGAGCTATCATTTCTTGACCCTAAATTTGGATTACCAGAACTCTTGAAATAACTCAAGCAGGTATTCAAAGTGTCATTGAACAAAATTTCAAATTTTTTGACATGCAGTTATATAAGTGCATGTCATTCATATGCTCTATGATACAGTAGCAGTGGAATCTGTAAAGTAGGACACCTATAATAAAAAGTAGAACATCTATACTAGTGGAACACTTGACCAAGACCAATTGAGTTAATGTTAAATGAACCTTCATAAGTACAACCTCCAATGAGGGACACTTTTTAGATGTACTGAAGGTGTTCAACTTATTACTGTTTTATTCTTCACTGAAAATACATAGTAGGGAGTTTAAGCTTGCATATAAAATCCAAATGCAAACCTCAATGTATGACCCATCACCCATACAAACGCATCATTTAAATAACTTCAATACACCTCTAGGTTGTGAAAAAAACAATGCAAGCTTAAACTCCCTATTAACAGGTTGAAAGTAACATAGATTTTATAAATAGAATACTGTGGATGTGAATGGAATTTCAACAAAATCCATTTCATTGATACAAATGAAGTTGATATTGGAGAATGATATTGGAAAATTTCAAGATTTGGCCTTTTCAATTTTTGACCTCTCAATTTGTAATGAATGCTTGGGTTAATTTGGGCCCGCTTTGATTTGGCAGAATAGACCAAAAACACCAATTTACATCTTCGCCAAAATTTAGAAAGGATCTCTGGGAAATTGATTTGGTGTGTTTAAGTCAGTTTTAACAAATCTAAAAAGGATAAAAGTGATAATAAGAAAATGCCACTTCTAAATTGGCTCAGGGGAACTGCTTAAAATATAGTAGTTGAATTGTAGGAATGGGTGTAACAATTTATATTTTGTTCCAGTGTATATGGGAGTTGTGGTGTCAGAGCATGTTCAAGCCCCAGTGTCCGCCAAATTAAATAGCCAAAAAAGTGGCAAAATCGCCAAATGAAGTAGCGCCAAATGAACCCAATCTACAGTACGCCACAAGAAATAATGAAGTATAGGCTATAGAAAACTTAGAGAAACTTCAAAAACTTAGATTTCACCTGGATTGTTTGAGTTAGTTTTAGACATTAAAGTTTCGATACTTTTTAATTTACATTAATATTATGATCCTTTCACTGACTCATCATTTAATGATGTATCACTTTTTATAGAACAAAGTTCAGACAATATTAAATTGTGTATTGTTTTCTTGTCCCATTCTTTCCTCTTGGTCTGATTCTATGTCTCCCAAGTCTGACAATTCAGAATCATCATCACTCTCCGAGGTGTTGTCAACAATTGCTTCATCAAGCATAGGCCTCATCATTAAAGAAAGGTAAACCCACCAATCCTTTCATATATGTAGCATCGTTGATATTGTTTACATCCATTTCCATTCCTACATTTCCATTTGTATCTTTAGACTTGTAATATAATAGAAATTGTTTCATTTCTTTTTTAAGGAGGACCTCTCCCTCTTTAAGTCTTTCAAGTGATTCTTTCTTATTAACGAGGTCTCTTTTCTTCCCCAGAGTAATGTCCGACCTCCATGGGAAATCAGCTTTCAGAATACATCCCATTTCGGTTGAATTTATTTGTACTTCATTTTCTATATCTTGTGCGGTTATGTTGTATATTTCCACTGCATTCTCAATTGCTTTCTTTGTCATTTGGTTGGCCCTTCTCAGCTTGTGGCGTTCCTTACTTGTCTCTGAAAAATTCAAACAACCAAGTTCCTGAATATGTTAATCTTGTATTGATGGGATATCATACATTGTAATGTCTAAAACTAACCATTATTGCAGTATTAATGCTCATCCCCTAATAAGCGCCCACCCCACTTTCAAGGCTTAGATGCAAATCCACTGTACCTATTTCCAAAAAACATAATCACATTATACTAGAATGATACTATTGTGATTGTTCAGAGGGAACAAATGTTTCACTTTGTAATTACTAGGAAAGCAAATCATATAAATATAAATAAAGAACATATAAATAAATCATAAGATAGCTTACCGGTAACTATTCTTGTAATAGGGTCTGGTTGTCCATTGTTTAAAGCATTGAAAACATCTTCTTGTTTTCTCAGCTTAAAATATTCTAACTCGGGAGAAACACCATTTCTATTTGTAGAATCTGGAAAAGGTGAAAAATGATATAAAACTACAAATCAGCAACTCCACAGAGTAGCAAATCCCAATGAACACTGCATACATGAATCTGTAAATGGCTCAATGTAATATTTAAAATCTATTCTAACCTTTATTAAATTGGCAGATATTCCATTTAGGAGTTTCAAAGGCACAAATGATAGACATTAGAATGTTTGAGATCTAATAGAGTATTACTGTAGATTGGGTTAATTTGGCGCCCGCTTTAATTTGGCGAATTTGGCGAAAATGAAAAATTCGCCAATTTAAATCTTCGCCAAAATTTAGAATGAATCCCCGGGAATTATCTAGGGTATTTTGTCCAGTGTTTTAGGTCACTTCCGGTTTAGCTTTTTCCAAAAATATGAAAAAATGTCTCTCATAAATTGGCTCAGAACTGGTCAGTCACTCATTAATACTCAGGGAAAAACGCAGTATGGTAGCAGCATAGATCGAGGTACAAAATGTAAAGGATGATCTCACAAAAATGTACAAACGTGGTGAATATCGCCAGTGGTCCTTAAAAATTTTTTTTTCTTTTTGCAATCCAACAAATTAAATAGCCGCCAATATGCCAAAAATGGCAAAATCGCCTAATTAAGTATCGCCAAATTAACCCAATCTACAGTATGTAATCTTAATTTGAAAATGACCAAAAAGGCCAAAAATTGCTAGCAAAGGATTGTTTCCTGCATATACATCCAGGGGTTCCACTAGAATTTTTCACAGCAGACTAAGTAAATGAAAACAGCAGGCAATATTAATGGAAATCATAAATTCAACATGGAAAAGTTGAAAAGTCCCTCAAAACAATGGGCGATTATATGAAAACAACTGCTGAAAATCGCTTGTTGCCTGCTGCTAACGAAGTCCCTGTACATCTATTCCTGGTTTTCTATACATTTGAAAAATATGACAAATAAAGGATTAACACAGGGAACTCTGAACTCTAGCTCAAATTATTACAATGTAAAGTTAAACCCATCTGAGTGGACACATCTCTCAAGTGAACACCTGTATCTAGTTAACACCCTTCCTCTCCCCACATACTCTACTGACTTTTGTAGAAATTATCCTCTCTGGAGTGAACAACTACAAACCCTGAACGTTTTCTCAGTAAAAAAATGTTCAATATACACAGGTTTTACTGTAGTTGATAATGTGCAGTTCTTTCTGTTTCAAACATATTCCATGTACAGGGTGATCCTGATGTAACTTCAAAGATATTGCATTTCCATACTGAATCTCAAACAAAACTAAGTGTATACAAAATATAGAGTCTATTTTTGATTGGTTGATTTTGAAAGATTATTCTAATTTATTCAGCCTATCAAGTCGAGAGTTTTATTTACCCCATATGACATCACGATGGGTTAACATGGTAACCATGAAACGAATCACATTGTTAACTAAGAAATTTTTGTGGAAAATCTGTTTTAAGTTTCAAGATGACTGGCAAGTAGAATTGAATTGACAAAACCTTTGAAGTTACATCTGGATCAATTTATATAAAGATACCTTCCTATATCTTCGAGTTAAATACTCCAGGAGCGACTTCACTTTCTTCGTTCCCCAAAATGAAACGAGACGTGTGATCACCTCCTCTCTTCCTATAAAAGTGAGGCAAAGAAATGTGTAAATCATTTGTTTTACGTTTTCTTCTGACTGTACCTGCCGACAAACGGTATGGAGGCATTCTTTATTGATAATTTGTTTGAAAATGTATAATTTACTATTACTTAGTTATTGACTTCAACTGTTTGAATATAGTTAACAATTTTACTCACTAGCACAACCCATGTATTTGGAGGGCTTGCAAGCATTGGATGTTGTCCAAGCACCCTTCTTCCAATCACCACCCCACATTATCTGAAAATACATATGTTCAGTTTTGTAACTGGATGATCAGGAGCTTGATATAGCAAAATACATACTGCCGATAGGAATTTTGCCCACCTCCAGCTCATGATCATCCAGTATTTGTTTTTTATGCACTTCTCAATCAAGATACTGAGTGTACATCTTTTAAGAATTTCTGGTTTTCTTAAAACTCAAGATGGCGTCCTATACACCAAACAAAAACAAAAAACGTTGTACCAGGAATTTTCTTTTTCATTTAATATAGTTTTTGTATATACTGTATATGTTATGCTTTGCTGTATATTCCATATCATTGAAGCTAATAATAAAAAGGTATTCTCAGTATTCAAAAAAGGAACACTTATATACCAAGAATATATAAGACTATATATTGTAGTTAAATACTTTTTCTTACCTGGCATGTAGAAGAATGGCCTTTGGCCATAGGAGTGCATACAGTGTGCATAAGCGAATATCTCCCCTTGGAACATGTTTAGAAGTTTAGGAGGTATAACATGTCTGCATGTAGAGCCAAATACACCAGTTTGGTCAAGACGTGCCATCCTATGCGAGCTCTCTTTAGCAGCTTTCCAGTGGCTTTGTCCACAAACATCAACTTCTGAGTTCTACAAAAAGAATATAGCACTTATTTTGAACACAACTGAATGAAACATTTCATATTTTTCAATAAATATAGTTTTATCCATTGTGCATATATATCTCTTACATAAGTCAATAATTTGCCCAGATAATCGTGGCAAGATTTTGTCACACTTTCATATGGATGGATGGAGGGTTTCACTTTATCCCAACCAAACTTTGTTAGCTTGGATAATAAAGGTATGAATACATGTTAATTGCTTTCATATTTATGGTATTAGAATGAGTTTTTCTACTTTAATAGGCCATGAAATGAATTCTCTGATATTTAACAGAGAATCTACTTTTTAAGGCCCAATGTCTTTTGTTATTAAATTTACTTACAGGGGTAAGATCACTGCTGATCTTTTTAAGATGACATACTGGTCGACTTCTTCATCTGGGGTGAACAGTTCAGGTCCAAAATATGATTTTCTTTCTCCCCTAATAAAAAAAATAATAAAAAACAAATCATAGAAACAATCAGGATGAAAAACAATATAATGAATAACATGATATCTGTTGTAAGATATGTGATGTGTTAACATTCCTAACTTATACATTTTTATGCCATCAAGTATTCACATATCATCACATATGAAAAAAATATGTCCATTGGTTTTTGAGTTTTGGCAATAATCATAGACAAGGCATTAACATGCTAACTGTCACCACCTGTCATTTGTTACAGACAGCAACTGCCGAACACCAACCACTGAACACCAAACACAAAAAAAAGTTGGTGACCATAACAATGTCACATGCAAGACTGCTTTAAAACCCACACACTAATTACATGCTCAGCCTTTTTATCTTCATATTTCCATCAATCATAATAGAATGGGTACTTAAATCACTTAACATACCTTAAGAATATCTATCTTTGACTGTGGTTTGTTTGTTGGTTGTCTTGGAACCCAAGCAGGATTGCTACTATTCCAAATAATATCAAAGAGTGGTTCTGGCTGTATTCTCAATATTGAGGGATATAATGGCTGGCCATCTTCATCCACACAGTCAAGGTCAAGGTCTTTAGAGGCAACTTTCTTAAAGTTTTCAATCGTAAAGGGCCCATTGTCTTTGATGTACCATGTCCAAAAATTCACTGTGTCTCCAGTTTTTTGAGTCCTCCAATATGCATCAGCAACAAGCCTTCGCTGTGATAAGGTGCCTATTTCATGCTCATGCTTATCATCATACTTCACGCCACGCTTGATTCTGGAATACAAACATTCATCTTTAACTTTTAATTACGGACAGATTTATAATAATGGGAGGCTTATAGGCATCAATGTTCAGTATAAATTTCCACTGGATTTTAAATATTTTTTGAACCATTAGTAAGATACTGTAGATTTGGTTAATTTGGTGCCCGCTTTAATTTGGCGAATTTGGCGACATTGTAAAATTCGCCAATATAAATCTTCGCCAAAATTTAGAATGAATCCCCGGGAATTATCTAGGGTATTTTGTCCAGTGTATTTAGGTCACTTCCAGTTAAGTTTTTTCCAAAAATATGAAAAAAAGTCTCATAAATTGGCTCAGAACTGGTCAGTCACCCATTAATACTCAGGGAAAAACTAGAAAGGAAAAGCGCGGTATAGTAGCAACATCGATCGAAGTGCAAAATGTAAAGGTTGATCTCACAAAAATGTACAAACATGGTGAATATCGCCAGTGGTCCTCAAAAGAAAAAATGAACATAGCCAAACATGCCCAATTTTTTGCATATCCGCCAAATTAAATAGCCGCTAATATGCCAAAAATGGCAAAATCGTCAAATTAAGAAGCGCCTAATTAACCCAATCTACAGTAACAGAAATTCTGTTTTGACCTCCAGTCAGTTTGACTAGTTCAACATACATGTATCATTTACATGACCAGGATCACAATGTACATTGTACATGGTCAGAGGGCTGAAAAAATTATTTCATCATGTTTAGGGTCATTCTGACCATGTACATTGTGATCCTGGTCATGTAAATGATATTTGGCACTAGTCAAACTGACTGGAGGTCAAAACAGAACTTTGTTATCCACAGGACGATTAGGACTTGAGACATACGAGGGCTCTGCCTGATCTTCCATACAAACCCCTGTGCTGTTATCTTGGTTCAAAAAATCTTCAAAATTCAGTATGGTTTTGTCACTTCCTGTTTTGGCATTTCCTGTCAGGACCATGGCACCTCAAGATCATGCCTGTTGGAGATTTCAATTTATTTTTAAAAAAATTCAAAAAACAAACATGGCGACTTCTTGAATCGAAAATAAGCCAATGTCGAAATAGCCCCATGACCATAGATCTCGGCCAGATTCTTTTGTAGTAGGATCAGTAGCTCAATAATTATTCTTTGAGCCTATGAGATCCTACTACAAAACGATCTGGCCAATATCTGTGCCCATGACGAAGTAAACCCATGGTCGAGGTTCAACGGATCTCCCCTTTACTATGATTTTTTCGGTTAACATGCCCCAATACGAAATCTTTATTGAAATGGTACAATTGAAGGCTACCCACACTGTCCTCCTAAAGAGAAAGGTGCAATTCCTCTCAGAGAATATTGCATCTCCAGGGAGGGTCTAGGAACACACGAGGTCATTGTTCGATACCCCATTCAAGCCCCTGTATTATTATTAAATACTCCCATATCTTATGTTTTGGGAATGGCTGGAATGGAAAATAATTCGAAAAATAATTTCTACTTCTTACCTGGAACGACTTTTCGGCATTTTTGTAGACTAGATAGATTGTTGTTGCTATGCTATGTTTGAACGTGGAACTAATGATCTCTCCTTAACAAGATAGAATGCAGCAAGGTTTCCCAATGATATAATATTTAGCCATTTATTCAAGAAATCATTCCTCTTGAAAACGTGTGCAGCGCGCCATTTTTAAAGAATACGGAGTGAATACGATACGCAAGCATTATTATCTAAAAGTCTATCATATAACTCCAATCTGTAGTGATTCGTCATACTATTCTATTTAAATTAATAGTGAACCCAAAATATAATTTTTAAATACTCAAATTTAATAAATAATATTAGCACTGAATTTGACATTAATATTGCGGCATGAGCGCAACTGCTATCGTTGCGGCAATACCGCAATGGTATTAGGAGTATTGACTGAATCTACATGTAAAATTACATTTAGAAATGTGGTTTTGAAAATTTAATTTTGTTAGAAAATGTGACTTAATAAGTTATAGGTCGGGGAGATTCCCCATAGACCCAATGTTGTAAAACCACAAAAAGTGAAATATCTTTTCTTGTGTTGGGTAGATAATATTTTCTTTTACTGGACATATTTTAATTCGAATAACTATCAGATACATAAAGGTAATATGGAAAGCGAACCACTAAAACTGATGCATATTCAAGTTTAAGGGAATTTTGTAATACCCTGCCATGTTAATTCCCCCGAATCAGCCACCTGGTGGCGAAACTGGTAACTACCTCCCGCATCTGAGTAATTGGCCGGGTGCTGCCCGATGAATCGGAGCAAAAATAACACAGGCATTATGGTTCGATTGACCAATGCTGCTAGCTTCAGCTGTCTATGATCCAACTAAAAAACACCCGAGTTTATCAATTAAAGTTAGATCACGAGTCGTCTACATTGCAAGTTGCTTATGATCCAACTCAACAAAAGGTAAGATCACGAGTCGGCTACATTGCGAGTTGTCTATGATCCAACTCAACAAAGACCCGAGTTTACCAATAATGTAAGATCACGAGTCGTCTACATTGCGAGTTGTCTATGGTTAACTCGACAAAGGTCCTAGCAACCAAGCTTCCAGTAGGTAGTTACCGATTTCACCACCAGGGTGCTAATTTGGTTCGGATAACATGGCAGATATGATAGAAAGTCCCTCAACTTGAATCACTCAACTATACCCACGGTGTTATAGCATGACGGTTACGCCACCTCTGAAAACGAGGTTGGACGGCTACGCTCTGATTTATCCAATAAAATGGCCGCGATGGAAGAGAAAACTAAGGTTGGTGCATTATTTTCTACTACTGTGTATCAATGAAGGATGAATGATTTATGTAAACTTCGCATTCGGTGATGCATTCAGTAATGTATATTTTGAACGTAGTCTTTGCAATTTGATGCCCGGGGATAACATGAAATAAGAGAAAAACTGACGAGTTTGAAATTCAAAACTAAACAAAATTTAGTAATTTGTTTATTTTTATGTTAGGGCATGGTCTACATTGCCTAAAAACCTTGGGGGTATATACTTAGATATAACCTACATACGATCATACAAAGCCAATTGAGCATTGGAAACCACCTAATATGTTCTACTCAAGCCATAATAATGTATTTTGAATTTGCGGTAACGTAAAAAATTGATGGACGGTTACGGGAACCTGATTCAAATATGAAACCCCGATTCATTGTTATTAATTTAGGTTACATCTATATACCCCGAGTTCGTTATGGGCGAAAACGGTATGGAGCTGGGATTGAAAATAGTGGTATGAAAATGGTATAGAGAATGGAGAAAAATGGTATGAAAATGAGAGAAAATGGTATGTAGAATTGGAGAAAATGGTATGGAAATTAGAGAAAATGGTGGGGAGAACTGGGGAAAATGTTATGAATTGGATATAATGGTATGGTTGAGAAGGGATGAATTTAATGGAGAATTGAATGGATTGGTATTGGGATGTTGTAGAATGATGGAGAATTGTAGAGAATAGTACAGGTTCAGTAAGGCAAAGTGGAAACTGTGGAAGATTAGAGAGAATAACATGGTGGATTTAATGGAATGATATTGAGAACTGTCTCTGGAAAGGGGATTTCTCTGAAGTATAAAGCGGCATTAGCATTATCACATCGTTTTGTGGCTTTGTGGTCACATACTTTCGTTCTTTCTCCCCTCGTAAGTCAAACTCGTTCAGTTTCACAAAATCAAGATCATCAGCTCACAACATCGTCCCTTTCCACCGGGTTAAACGATTGGACCAACTGAAACCGTTTTGTTAACCAAGATGAACTCGCCAGTGGTCGCACTGATGTTAAATTCATTCGTGTTAGTGCCAATGGAAACATATGTTCAACTTCGCAATTGTGCATTATAGCCTGAACGGACTTGATGTTTGCTCAACAATAGAATCGAGTAAAACTAAAATGCCTTACACAAACAAACATTCCCAAAAACATTCCTAAAATAAATCTGGAGATAAGAGTCTATAAATATATTCCTAAAAAGCCAGGAGTCTTTGCTTTGATGTTTGTACCTATCAGTTATTCTTGCCATGCAAATTAAAAGAAATTCTTCAGTTTAATGACACTTCTTCTTAGTGTTTTGACCTCGACCTTGGGGAAGATGGTCTGATTAATAGCGGTGTCTATTCATTTATTCACTTATTCAACATGTTTTAATTTATGATTGTTTGCATTTATATTACACTTTAATGTATTTAAACTATTGTAACTCTCTATTAATTAGAGGTAAATAAATATACAATACAACAATCAGTTGTTTGGTTACTAAGTTATCAGAGTCTCAACATAAGGGAATTTATGATGGGGCATTAATATGAGTTGTCAACATGATGTGATGTGTGTATATGTTTAAATATACAAATGCATCATGTGGATATGATTATAGTGTTAAAGCATACGAGTACTTACACATTCCTCTAATTTGCGTGCATAGTTGAGTCATATATCAAAACCTAATTTTCAATATTACCCCAGACTGGTTTACCCACCAGGGTCTAAATCAATAGGTATAAGAACTAAAATGGCGTACAACGTAATCGAACATTGATAATCGTACGCAATTCAACGCATGGAATGACTAAGAGGAAAAAGTAACCAATGCAAGAAAGATTGAATGAAACACTACGTCTAACAATCTGTAATTGAAATTTTTAAAATACATATTAGCGACGTTTGATTTATAAACTGAATATTATCACATCAAGTCTCTCATCGTGGTTAGTTTAGGAATACACACACGCATACAAATACCCTGCGCACAGAGACTACTTGAAGACGAAAGCTCTCTTTTAAGAAGTGAAGTCGAAGGAATACAAAGGGTAGCATACATATTTTAAAAGGAAAGTTAAAGAGCTGTTCAATTTATTCGATGTTAGTGAATTACTTCATATGTTTACATGCTGTTGCTTCTGCTAATTTTCAAGGGAAACTCTCAGACAGTCTGTTTATCACATGAACAGTTTATGTGAAGTTTGCTATC